TTCCTGAAGTCCGCAGTTCAATCATACCAGACTACGGCGTTAGTGTCGAAGAAGCCTTTAGAGACTTCACCATACGACTAATTGGTGCAGATGATTATGGGATAAACATATTGACCCGATGCTTGCTTCGAAATAATCCATCGACACTGCAAATGCCGTCATGGGTGCCTGATTTCTCTTCCCCTAATGATACGCTGTCATATTTTGGATTTCGTGCATGTGGTCGGTCTAAATTTCACGGCGTAGTCACCAATGAAAGCCTCCAGCTTCAAGCTGTGAAGCTGGCCACCATTACGACCTTGCTGCCCCCTCTCCAGGCTGGCTATACAAACACAGAGATTATAGAGGCTTGTCGCTCTTGGGAGGCATCGTGCGAATCAAGTGTGTATGCTGGTGGTGGTTCAACTGTGAACGCGTTTGTCGATGCGGTTTTGGGTGGGTGGAGTAGTGAACTCTTTCCTAGTTATAGTGTCCTTTTAAGTTTCGAACAATGTAGGAAGGCTCTAGAGAGTTATGGAGAAGAAGTTGAAAGTGATGATATGGAAAGAATAGCTACTAGGTTTGGGGAATTGGTCCGAGATAGGATTCGTGGAGAATGCTTCTTCAAGACACTTGAAGGGTTCTTTGGACTTTGCTCTGAGTCTGCAAGGGCTGGAGATGTGGTAGTTATAGGTCTGGAGGTAACGTCACCACTTGTGCTTCGCCCCGTCACACGCGAAGGAAAGTCTCGCTATCTCGTCGTCGGTGCTGCTTACCTTTCTGGAGCGATGCATGCAGAATCCTTCTTCGGCCCAATTCCGGTCGGCTGGGATGTGAGTCACCAATATGTCAATGGGTATTATAGAACGTTTTTCACCCATGGAGATGTCTTGACGCAGGAAGATCCTCGAGTAGCTCTTCCACCGCAATGGAGATACAAGTATGTACCCGAGGAGGACGAGCCGAATACACCTAAGGAAATGCGTCGCTACGACTTCGAGAATGTGGAGACCAAGGAGACAACTTGGCACGATCCAAGGCTGACGCCCGAGGCACTGAGAGAGAGGGGAGTCAATCTTGAAGAATTTACATTAGTCTAGCTAAATCTAATGACCTCTTCAAAGGCAAAACCATGTGAACAAATATGTCAACCAACACCTTGGTGGTTTACAAGAGGGATTCCCAACATGATTTTTGTTCTGTAAATCTAAGAGTCTTCTGAAGTTCCACGAATACCGACTTTTTCTTCAATGGTGGGCAATAATAATGAGATAATGAGGGATCGCTTCCCTCGCCAAAATAATTAAAGGGGCAAAAGCTCGGCTGCTTCGGAGCGTGGCAGGAACTCACCCCTGAAATACCGCTTACAGCACCCCCTGATTAGCGGATCCGGGCTAAATCTGCAGGACTGATTAGTAACCCGCGACTGATAATAGCACTCAAATCTACAATTGGTTTGGCATCTTCCTTTAAAATTTTAAAAATGCTAAACCTCTCTCACTTCGCATCCAACTAGCCTTCGAGGGCGCCTAAATATTGTCGTGGGAAGACGAAGGGCCAGATATAGAGAGTTGATTCCTCGCCTCGATATTCGAAGCTCAGTGCCCACCCTCCCCCCCCCAATAGAACTCATCCGCTTCCCATGATGACCACCTCGAGACAACAAACGAATCTGGAAAAGCCCATGGGTTCCAACGGTAAAAGCTCTCGAATGGACGTGGAAAACAATGCTAGCGGCCATACCAACCGCTCCAACTCCATAGTGAAAGCCCCCTCCTACAACACTACCACCAGACCCTTCATCGGCCGTGTGGGAGGGAACCAAGGCTTTGTACTCGACCGACACAATGCAGCAAATGCAGAGATCTTGAAAGAGCAGCCAGATAGCGCCCCTTGTATGACACTCAGAGAGCAGTTCGACCTCCGCGGATTCCGGTCACTTGGGTTGTGGAAAGCTGCTCTGATTGAAGGCATAGGTCCGTATCTTTTCCCTTCCATTCCAGTACTCCGAGTTTTTTTCTGACCGATTTCAAAGGCGCCTTGATGCTTATTTATGTCACGATATGGATCAGTATCTCCCCCTCCTCAATCCCCGCTCCCCCAACCTCCCAACTCGGATCCTTTGACAACGCTGCCTTTATCGGCCCCCTTGTCGGCGGCCTAACAAACTGGTTCCTCGTCACGCTCCTCACTTTCTCTCTAGGTTCCGTCTCAGGAGCACATCTCAATCCCACCATCACCATCGCCACATTCTTCGCTCGCCTCTGTACTCTTCCCCGCATGGTCCTCTACGTCTCATTCCAAACAGGGGGCGGAGCTATCGCAGGGCTCCTTATCCGCGCGTCCTACGGAACCCGAGACTTCAAAGCTGGAGGCTGCTGGTTGTTCTCTAATGTTATTCCTCCATCAAATGCGTTTGTGATTGAGTTTGTTTTCTGTCTGGCGCTGCTGTTTATGGCGTTTGGGGTTGGTTTGGATCCCAGGCAAAAGCAAACTATTGGCCCTGCAATGGGCCCCTTCTTGGTCGGCATGACGCTCGGTGTGCTCAGTTTCGGGAGTGCGTTTTCGCGGTACGGATATGGTGGTGCGAGCATGAATCCTGCGAGGTGTTTTGGGACGTTTGTGGGTAGCAGGTTTCCGGGGTGGCATTGGATTCATTGGTAAGTTTCTTTATTTTTTCTTAGGGGCCGTCGTAATGGTAGATTTCTAGTTTGAAATGTTGCGTGCTAATATTCTCCTTGGTTAGGATTGCGGATATTACTGCATGCATCGTCCATGGCTGTTTCTACTTCCTCGTTCCACCCTGGCAAGTGGAGGCCTGAACCTCGAAACTACGGCATGCATTTGAATATTATCAGTTAAGGTTCTTCTTTATAATTTAAGAAGATGATGGCTGGAAGGAATTGTGCTTTCGAGGGGATGCTGGCTATTTTCTCTGCTACCTAAGATAGGCATCGCTACAAACTACGCCAAGCACCAGCTGCGAAGACTCGGCCACGAAGCTCCAAGATGCCTGTATTGAAAATATGACGGCACAGGAGGTCATTTATCCCACTTTTCAGCAAACCTATAACACTTCAGACACCACCCGCGCCTCCATCTCATACTTAGGCGGTCCCGTTCCGAAATTCCCATGCCTCGGCACGGCTGCCCTCGCTTCCCTTGTCTGAAGCTCCGCAGGCCCAACATAAGTTGCACTCCTATCCGGCACCACTGCTTGAGAATGCTTCCTCAGCCGCCTCTCAGCAAGATACAGCCCCAGCAACCCCGCAAGTATCGTCCCTGCCAAGAACGCCCCAACCGAGCCTCCGATGACCGCACCCTTGCCAACAGGACAGCTTCCCGCGGTGCAGGTTCCGACTCCCGCTGTATTGCTGGAGGTGGAGGAAGGTGATGATACCGTTGGAGTTGAGCCAGATTGTTGACTGGCGGAGAGACCTAGAGTCGTGAGGTTGAAAGAGAAGGATCCGCCGCGGGTACCGCAGCACGTCGTCACAGTCTGGTCATTGCAGCACCAGCTTGGTGTGGAGGCCGCGTAGCATGGGTTTAGGGAGTACTCTTCTACGAGATCTAGTCTCATGTCAACAGTCGCGATCCATTGGGGATTACTGAGATGGGAAACGAACTTGGACAATATTGAGGACATGCTGCATTCTTTCCAGTCTTATCGGTGCATCCGACTGCATAAATCAAGAAATTCCCTTCCGTGGAATCCATCCGCTGGCACAATCCACCCCCAAGACAGATATCAGGCGGGTTCTTCCCTAGATTACAACATGCGCTGTTGGATCCAGAGGCCAGGCTACTGGTGCAAGGCTGGAAGTCGGCCGTGGCGAGATCCCCATTCAGCATGTAGCATTGTGAGGATGCGCTGGCAAGCCAGACGTCTAGGAAAATCAAGATTAGAGTTAGGAAGGAAGGCATTCGTGTAGCATAGGTGTTTTGGAAGACTTGGGGATTGTATTAGAGGAGATGGTGAAAAATACAGCAAGGAGGGGAGAGTATATACGTTGTGTGGTGGGGTGATAAATGCGCGACTCTAAATCAATACGACCAATTCATAGTAGCAACCCACAGGAAGTCATGGGCTGCGGCAATGTTTTCAGCTTTCTGAATGAAAGTCGGGGATTCGTTAAGTTTTACAGAATAGGAAGCAGATTCGATTTTGTGGCTTCAGTGGCTGAAAGCCCCCCGCGATTTGAACCGAGCAGAGAGGTTTTGGAGGGGCAGCATGTGCCATGAGCAGGTGAATCAATGCACGGCATGAGGGGTCGCATCGGTCGCGGGCGAGAAACGTTATTGCGTTTTCTTCAGCCGCAAAATTCCTTGGCATGCCTCTGTACTTAATGCTGGTTTGTGGAAAGTTGAAACCGACAAAGTATCGAAAATAAAAAACTAACAGCTTTTGCAAGGAGGACCTGAGCTACTGGCGTGGTGGTAGATAGCTCGCTAAGCGAAGAGGAGAGATAGCAGCCTGGATTCTCCATTGCCATGTAAAGGCCTCGACCGGTTTTCGTTTCTAAAAACAATTGATTCTATTTTGCGTCCCTAGGTTTCCATACCTACGAGCTCCCAATGTGCACAAAGCATTGTCCGCAAGGTCCTGGACATACACTCCTTTATCTAATGTGGGGCTTCTATCTTGAATCGCGATAAAGCTACTAAATCCAAATCAAGGCCTGTGAACTCATTTGTTTGCCCAGTGACAAGCCCTGCAAATGTTGCATTTGAAGCTCCCAGCACTGAGTAGAATATCCATTGCCTTTCTTGGCTCGTGAGTGGGAAAAAACTACCAAAAATATTCTTGCATTCGTATCACATTTGAATAATATACGACAGAAAATCGTGTGCCCTAAATTCAAGTTCGCACTCGACAAGGTGGCACAAATTCCTCCAATGCACATTTGCTTCTACTGTAACAACTAGCGTGCAAAATTTATCTCGCTTCGTCTCGCGTAACAAGGTCAACTCCTCACCAAAAATCAAACGAAAGAGGAACAAAAAAAAAAGCAAAAAAGAATTGAACAGAGTGGGACTCGAACCCACGCCACTTTCGTGACCAGGAAATTGTGTTAAGATACCTTAACCTGGCGCCATAACCTGAGATTTTTGTTAGTTGCGCATTTTGAATGATGTTGTGTGTGGTGCTTACCAGCTCGGCCATCTGTCCGATTTGTGGAAGCAATTAGCTTATTTTAAATCATATTCGTCACTGCAAAAATGGTCACTTGGCACGTGCCATCAGTCTTGGCTGGCCCAAAGATCTTTCGTTGGTGCAAACTGCCGCCTCTCCTACAACATTAGTAGAGTCTACGAGTACTGCATATTTTCTAATCGATCCTGTACGGAACACCTAGAAACTTGAATATGCCCCTCAATTCTTTCAGGTCCTTCGTTTTACACACAATTGTGTTGTCCTATCGGCTAATATCGTCCTCTAGATGTCTGGCTACAAAGCGATAAAAGTATTCGCTTCTACCTCCGCATCAACTTGCTTAAAACTACGCAGCTTTCAACTTCGCTAGCCTTACCATAACCGGAGGTAGTAACCAGTGCAGTACGGTGCAAGTGAACTAGGCGATGTAGGCTAAAACCAGTTTTTCGGCCAGCTGTAAAATTATCTTTTAGCCACTGCAAACGTGAATTATACATCAGATGGCAGCGAAAACTGGATAATATCGTGGTTCTAAAGTCGCCGATTCTGGATTGACACTGCATGAAATGCCTTTCGCGAGGCATACTGCTTCTCTCATATAGTGCGCTATTTAATAACAAACAGAACGAATTTCCAAGAACAACTATTTTTTTTTAGACTATTCCAAAGAGATGGTCCACTAGCATACAGCGAACATTTCATCCAGCAACGCTTATTTCAGGGGCTCAGGGGGTGGTAGCGGGGCAAAGTAGGGCCGTGCGCGCTATCTTTATCGAGGCCCAGAAAGACGTCACGCCTTGCTTCAAACTTCTCAACTTCAACTAATTCCGACTTTCTTGAAGTCTACTCTGATTCAACATTTGTAGACACCAGATATAAAGCACATAGTTCCCTGAATTAGCACTCAATATGAACCACGCTGGGAAAGCCCCAAGGCTGGGGCTAGCCCGGAAAATAAATCCGGTTCGCCCTTCGACAAATACCCCCTTCAACCCGAATGATATCGTGGATCTGATGAGCCGGTACTACCAATTGCTCTCCAGAATGCGGTATTTTCCCGAATCCCGTATCAAGTATCCACCCCACGACCCACCAATTGACGTTGAGTTCGCCGCATCTCTAGGAATGGAACCACGGGTCATCAAGCTCCTTCAGCTTCTCCCTTACGTTGAGGGTTTACATAATGAAGATGAATTCATTATGAGAGGGAGTTTTGCGGATTTCAGGAAAAAGAGGGTGCTAGAAAGGAGCACGGATCCGAAATTCTTGAGTCCGGATAAGGGCTTCGAGGTTGAGAATGGGGAGTATGTGAGACCGTGGGTGCTAGTTTTGACGGAGTGTGGGAATCGTGGGTCTATTGTATATTATGATACACGAAATGGTAAAACTGGTTTTCATCACTAATTAATAGCAATTTACTGATAATAATTAGGTCATATTATACTGGAAGATTTCTACGGAGGGAGTCTAGACCCCGCCTTCTCAAGCCGAAGGAACGGATCTCCTTCCTTCACGAATCAAAACTCTATCGACAATCTCCCCAGCAGACCAGCAAACGAAATGCTTGAAGATTTCATGAATCGCCACCAAACGCTAGAATGGATACCTTTCCACCTAAACGCTTATCGTATCTTCCACAAAGGAGAGCTGCACCATGCTGAGCTGAAGCAACTCTTTGAGTATTACGGCTGGCCTGACAATTTTGATGGACCAAGCTTTGATGTGGCTGCGGAACGATGGCGAACTTTCAATAGAGTCCGAGGGCTCGTTGAAGACAAGAAAAGAAAGGCACCCAAGGTCAAACATCTGTCAAACATTACAGGGCGCAGACTTCAAGAGTATTTGAATCGTCGCCAAGACGGGGTGTGGGATGGTAACCCGAACATGCCAACGGAAGAAGTAACAAAACTGGAGGAAGAGTTGGAGAAGAGAACAAGAGCGTACCAGATCGTCAGTGAGCAATTAAGTGAGGCTGAAGAAATGGCTGAAAACGTGGCCGGGGACGATGAAGAGTTTGAGAGCGCGTGGAAGAAACAGATCGAGAGTTATATTCGTTGGATAAAAAGTAATCTTGACTTCTCGAAAAGGGATGGAGGAAAATTTGAGGTTGAGGAGGAGACGAAGAAGATGGAGGAGGATATTCGGGGATTGGAGGAGAAGATTAGGCATGTTGCGAGTTTGCCAAAAACAAGTGAGGAGGCGATTAAGCCTCCAGGTCCGACCGCGATTAGGCATGAAACGCTTAAATATGTTATCTAAAATGGATCAGAGATTTTACCAGCGCTGATATATTTTCTTTACGAGGGCAGGTACAAGCAGTGTTAATATCTGAAAGATTAGTAGAGACGCCCAGCGTACAAAAATATACACCATGACGTTACGAACATTCCCCACATCGACCTTGAAACTTCTCCACGACTCTCTCAGATTTGCAGCTAATGCAATATTCAACCCCGTGAGGAAAGCTAGCTACTCAGCAATAATGTAAGAGCCCCCTACCAGCATCCGACCGCGCTAGATCTTTTTACAGCACCGTTGCCCGATCCCTTATACAAGATATTAAGTGATCGTAAAAACTACTTCACTTGCAGTGAGTAATGCTGCAAACTATAGCAGATTGAATTTCGTGTATCTACCGCGAAGCACGCAATGCGCCAGCGAGAAAAACTAAGCAAATGTGGGTATCTCTTACTCGCGACAAGTGCGCTCCCTCATATCAACACCTGAAAAGTAACAAAAACACCCTCTCCTCATATATATCATGCCCGTGCCTACTGGGCTCAGCCTAACCCTCCATTCTTCCCAGTCTACGAATCGGATCATCCTGACCCTATCATGAAGTGCTCAAGATCGAATAAATTGATCAAGTCAAGCCACTGACCTCTCGCCATATCTTTCATTGGTATGCTTAATCATCCTCAACCACTCGGTTGTTGCTGGTTCGTCTGCATATCCATTCCTGCTCGATGCCGGAATCTATACTCTATAGTGTTGGCGCAATCCACCCTTCCCGAGGCCCACTTCGAAAGATTTCAGCGAGTAGGTATGAACTTCTTCGAATCGTCCTCCTGCTGAGTCGCACTCTCCGGAAAAGCAGCCAATCCCGCAATAATTCCACCAATCATGAATACCAGACTGATAATCGACCAGATGACCCCCCAGCATTGGCTCGAGCCGCCGTATCGCTGAGCGAAAACACTGGCATCAGACTCGTTGACTTTTCTCAGGATCAGGTCATCGCACTATGCGTGGTCAGCAGAATAATAAGAGGAAAAGAGAGGATGACTTACAATATCCCAAACGCTATACAAACTGGACATCACTCCAATAAAAAGAACCACATACTTCAACGGTTCCGCATGGGCGATAAACCAGCAACCAACCAACAGTCCAACCGCTAACAGTATGGTTATAATCGTCAACCAATCTTTCCTCGCCCACCAGAGCGTCAACAGAAAACACACTCCCAGCACGATGCTCGCAACCTTGGATGCTACAATATCGAAGCCGCAGAATATGAGGAGCGCGCCGATGAGCGAGGAACCCAGGTAGCCGGCTGGCAATGTGATGGCACTGATGCCCCCGACCATGTGTGTTACGCCGCCTTCGCGCGGGTCGAGAGAGATGGACTTTACGCGCCCGCCAGTGCAGCATGCGGTTATAGCGTGGCCAAATTCGTGGAAAGCTATTACTAGCATCTGATATATGCTATCAGCGCCCGTAGTTGGGAGAAAATGGGTTGAGACATGGAGAAAAAGGGAGTGGGGGACTACCTTAAATGGCCAGAGCGAGTACTTAACGTAGGGTATATTCCAGAGTATACCAATGACCGCGACGTAGAGAACGATTATCCCAAGGGTAATCGATTGCGTATGATTTACTGAGAGTCCGCGAGCTGACAGCCGCGCCATTTCTGGAGCTGCTGCTACGATTGCGCGTTTTGCATAATCGACGAAGACAGCACGAGGGATCGAGGCAGGTGTTGGTGCCATTGTGATGCTGAACGAGTATACTTCACATGAAAAGGGTGTAGAGCACGAAAGTGAGGAAAGAATGGGCTGTCTGAGGTTTTTGATTCCCCTCCATCCCCTCAGCCGCCCACGCGTATGTTTCATATTTTTGTTGCTGCGCCACTACGCCACTAGCGTTAAGGTTATTTTTGGAACCGCACTGCCGGCCGCTTTTCTGGGGGAGCTGCCGGGGCCCGGGGTTTCACCCGCACCCTCCACGTCCTCTGAAACATCAATTCAAAACATCCACATGGAAATTTTCATCGTTGACTTACTTCTCACTAAAATCACGTGGTTATGTTGCAGATCGCATCCAAAACCCTTCCTCGAAAGCAATTGAGGCGAAAGATGGACGGTCTAATCCCGGATCGGCCGACGAATCAACAACGAATCAATCGAATTCAACAATGGAAGAGTCCATACAACAGGTAACTTAATTGCGGTCTCTAGGAACTCTCTAAGCACTAATTATGGCATATAACCAGGCAATCTCATTTCATTTGGTGTTTAGAAGCATCAGTTGAAAATCTGGGGCGAAATGCAGTTTTTCTCAGTCGACGAATTGACAACTTGAGGCAAACGCTTCAACCGCTCTTCCTCTCTTTTCTTGAGCTAACCTTTATTGTCCACGAAGCCTTCCACGTATTGCTATACATATTCCTTTTCTTTAATGAATTACTGAACACCTACCTTTCTTAGCTATTCGAGATTAGAGTTATTCGAGATTAGAGTTATTCGAGATTAGAGTTATTCGAGAT